AAGCCTATGATGCAGGGAAAAGGGCGAGATAGAGCAGGATGGAGACAGAGGCGACGAGGAACCCAAGAGACACCCCAGAGACCCCAGAACCAGAACAGGAACCCGCCAACGCACCCCCCCAAGAGGGGAGAAAAAAGGAGGAAGAAAGAAACAGCAGGAAGAGAGGGAGGCCGCAGGGGGGAAGCGTAGGCAGGAACCCGACGACCCCAGGACAAAGGGCCCCCAAAGGCCCAGCCGCGGAAACCCGGCCCCCAGGACCCCCAGCAATTCGAGCGGCGTCCAGCAGCTCGGAAGCTCTGCGCATCACAGCGCGACAGACAGAGGCAACTACGCAGCTGCACCCCCGGCTCAACTCACATCCCATTCGATGAGCTTCCAATCGTCTCAAATCACGTTCGAGGTGCACATAGCTCGGCCATCGCAGCCCATCGTCGCGAAGTCAGCCGTGACCGGACCAATGCACTCTGGGCGGCCTTGAGCCGGATCTGCTGTGCAGCATCTGCAGGGGGCGCTAGGGAAGCAGCCCTGGCATCGGCCAGAGCGGCGATGGCTTCGGACTCCAGCAGCTTGTATCGCTCCAGCGCCTCCTCGAGCCTGTTGGCTGAGACCGCGCCCAGGTTGTCAGGTAGCGCGGAGGCGGCAAACTCAGACAGCAACATGACCTTTTCCTCGGCCCGCTGGATGAGCCTGGCAGCGTTCTCCTCCTCGTGCGCAACTTCCTGGACACAGACTGGATCCCTCTCTCTGTCTCCTGAGGATGCGCTTGCAGGTCCAGGCCGAGGGGTGTGACCAGCGCAGCTCGGGCGCCCCGCATCTGCACGCTGACCGGCACCAGCACCTCCGCGAGGCTTAGCACCTCCACCAGAATCGGCACCAGCGCCTCCCAGATGATCTGCACCCGCACCTCCGGGTAAAAACACTGGAGCATCCCGACGTAGAGAGCTGGTTGGCAGGGGGGCGAAGTCCGCATACCTGCAGTCCACGCTCTCCCCCTGCGCAAAAGCATCCAAGGACCCGTGGACCACGTCATCGTCGTCAAAGTCGTCAGCGTCGCCCTTGCCGGCAGCGGCAGCTGACACGCCAGACTGCAGCAAAGCAAGGCCCACAGACCGCATGCCCTTGCCCTCCTCTGGCGCGACATCGTCCTCGGCCAGCCTGACATCGGAACCGGAATGAGGTACATGATGCTGAGGACGCTGTCGCTGCTGCAGATTTCGGTTCCGGCAAAAACGCCCATCTTGCTCAACATGCGATGGTGGCGCCGATGGGGAATCGAACCATATACATATTTCACTGCAACCATCTGAATGCAAATGACCTCGATCAACCGTGATGGCTATCTGGCTGTTCTGCGCGATGCCATCCAAGGCGACCAGGAGTAGGGAACGAGTGACCATCGAGGTGATGCCGCAAGACTGGTAAATCCTGATTTTGGCTTTGGCCCTCCCCTGGTGAGCGGCGCTCCCGACAGTGATGTGCGCAGGGGCTCCACTTGCGATGAGACCTCGTGCCCAAGCAAGACGAGCCGAAACAACCATCGCGGGCCAAAATGATGTTGCTGAGGGGGTGGGGGCAGCGCAGGTGCGCTGTGAAAGCCTCGTGAACAAGCAAGTGCCTGACCGATGGCTGGCCTGGGCCAGCGAGGCTCTCCTCCTCCTCCTCCTCCTCCTCCTCCTCCTCCTCCTCCTCCTCCTCCTCCTCCTCCTCCTCGTGATTGATGGATGCTCTGGAAGCCATCTGCGCCTCCCTGGGAAGAAGCCGGTGGCCCCCCTGGGCCGGGGCCACTCCTCGCAGCGCCCAGGTCTGGGGCGTCGGCGGAGGACGTGATGGTGAAGCGCTGCCAGTCGCCCCGGTCCGCCCACCTGCGGATGGCGCAGCGGCCTCACGCCGCCCCCTTGCGCGGGCCGCTGGCGCGGCACGCCGCCGTGGAGCAGAGGGCGCCAGCGCGCGGCCTCTCGCGGGAAGCCTCCGCGCAGACTTCTGCGCACCCGACGTCGGTGGCAACTCGTGGGAGTCTCCCGTACCATCCTGTCGGCTCTTGCGAATTCCACGCTCATCGACGCTAATTCAACGCTAAATCACGCTAAATCGACGCTCGCCGACGCTCAATTGACGCTAGATCGGCGCTATCTCTTCGACTCCAGACGCCAATGGACGCCAAAGACTGAGTTAACAGGGCACGCCAGGCTCCCATGATTTGCTACCGAACCCGACCCCGTTTTTTTCTGAGTACCCTTTCCTCCTCTGACTAACGCGCGACCTCTCACGGGGAGCCTCGGCACAGACCTCTGCACACCCGACCCCCCCGCTTCTCTGGCGGCCCATGATTTGCTACCGAAGTCGGGTGTTGCGTTATGGGGGGGCCGATGAGTGGGGGGGGTGGAGCAGCGTGCCCCCTTCGTGCCCCTTTTGGGCCCCGAGGCGGCGGCGCTCGCCTGGCGCTGGCGGCCTCCTTCGGCACCCTTTTGGGGGGAGCAGCGTTTCTTCTGCGCCGCCCGCCTGGCGCTGGCGGCCTCCCTCGGGCCGCCGAGGTCCACGTAGCGGCCGTGGCAGGCCCGCAGGAACACCGCGTCGCCGGAGCGCACGGGGCTCCGCGGCGCCGGGTCCAGCAGCTCCTCCAGCGGGTCCTCCCAGGCAGTGGGCAGTGGCTCAAGGGGGGGGGTACCAGAGGAGGAGGAGAAGGAGGAGGAGGAGAGGAGGAGGAGAAGGAGGAGGAGGAGAAGGAGGATGAGGAGAGGGAGGGAGGGACGGGAGGGAGGGAGGGTGGGAGGAGGGAGGGAGGGAGGGGAGGGAGGGTAGGGAGGGAGGAGGAGGAGGAGGAGGAGGAGGAGGAGAAGGAGGAGGGGAGGAGGAGGAGGAGGAGGAGGAGGGGGAGGAAGAATGAGGAAGAAGAATGAGGGGAGGAGGAGGAGGGGAGGGAGGGAGGGAGGGAGGGAGGGAGGGAGGGAGGGAGGGAGGGAAGGGAGGGGAAGGGGAAGGGAAGGAAGGGAAGGGAAGGGAAGGGAAGGAAAGGGAAGGGAAGGGAAGGGAGGAGGAGGAGGAGGAGGCGGAGGAGGAGTGGAGGAGGAGGAGGAGGAGGGCCCTGCCTCGGCCCTGCCCGGTCCTCGCCGGCCCCGTCCCAGGAGGGCAGGGCGGCCAGCGCCCCGGGCGCCCTGCCGAGGAGGCCCAGCGCGGCGCTCTGCTGCCAGTCCCACTGCGCGCCGTGAGCGTCCAGCCAGTTCCAGAAGAACCAGCCGTGCGACGCTTCCTCCAGCGAGCCGCAGAGGGCGGCACGACTACACAACACACGTGCTCGTCGCAAAAGGCTCATCCGCTCCCCTCCTCGGCCGTTCGCCTGGGCAAGGATTGTCAACGGTAACTCTCTCGTTTGCGTCTGTCTGTCCAGGGGGGGCAGGATTTCTCCGCCCCGGCCGGCGCCTGGTGCAAGCAGCACCGCAGTCGTGGCGAGGCCCTGGCTGCGAGCTGGGCGCGGCCAGCGAAGGTCGCCAAGAATGGGCTGAAGGGGCAAGGATGCAAGGGTACCCTTGGGAAGGTTGCCCATCCTTACTATGCGAGTTGCGCATGAGGAACGACAGGGCACCTCTGACCACGGCGGGCCTCGGCCCTTGACAGGCTCCACGGCGTAAATCTGAGAGGCAGGGCCTGGAGACACGAGCCCCACCTGAGCCCAAAACGGTGCTTCAGCGCCTTGGCTGCAGGCTGTTCCGCGCGGGCATGTCTCAGATCGGCGATGTGCTCCCCTCCCTGGTGCGCCGAGCGCGCCAAGGGGGGGCCCGACGCCGATACAAGAGCTCCGCGCGGAGCTCCGAAAGCTGATGCCCCACATTCTGAATGGGGTGCTTGGTTTCCCAGAACACCTTCTCCTTCCTCCCTCCTCCGCCTCCGCCTCCGCCTCCGCCTCCTCCTCCTCCTCCTCCTCCTCCTCCTCCTCCTCCTCCTCCTCCTCCATCTGCTACATCCACTGCTCTTGTAAGCTCCTCCTCCTCCACCTCCTCCTCCTCCTCCTGTCGTCCTCCAAGGAGGCCCCCTCCCTCCCACCAGGTTGCGTGCCACCTCCACCACTCCAGGGCAGCCCCGCCAGACTGCGGCAGGGCATCGAAGCACCAGAATGCTTACCGCGCTTCGCGCCCCTCCCATCCCTCCATAAGAGGCACCACTGGACTGCGGCAGGGCATCGTAGCACCCTATAGCTTACCAGGCCTCGTGCCCCTCAACACCTCCCGGATGACCCGCCCAGGCCGCGGCAGGCTGTCGGAGCACCCTCGTGCCCACCACACGTCGTGGCACCTCTCCATGGGGAGGCCCTGCCAGAACAGAGGCAGGGCACAACTGGGCTTACCACATGGCGTGCCCCTCCCACTTCTCAATGCCGCGGCAGGGGTACCCGAGAACCCTGTCCTTCGAGACGTTTCGGGCCCCTCCCACGTTTCCAGAGGGGGCCGCCACACCGCGCAGGGCACCAGAGCGCCGAATGATTCGCCGGGCGTCGTGCCCCTCCCACCCCCTCTAGGGAGGCCCCGCTAGACCGCGGCAGGGCACTGGAGCCCCATACTGGTCACCATGCTTCGTACCTGCCCCACTCCAGGGAGGCCCCGCCATGCCGCGGCAGGATATCGGAGTATTGGGAGGCCCCGCCAAACCGCGCAGGGTGTCGGAGTATCCCACTCTTTACCAGGCTTCGTGCCCCGCCCACCCCTTCCAGGGAGGCCCCGTAAGACCAGGGTATCGGAGCACCGAATTGCTTACCAAGTTTCGCGCCCCTCCCACCCGTTTAGGAAAGCGCTACCACACTCTGGAGTGTGAGGGTCTGCCCTGCCCTGAACCCGCGACCTAATGAAACCCTGATGCGGGGAACTCCGATCGAATAATGGTTGATGTCATTGTGATTGTGTATGTGGGGGGCGTCGATCCAACACGGGGCCCCTGGCAGCCCCGATCCTGCCCCCAGGGCCTATGTTTATTGTTTGACGGTCCAGGGGCCCCGCGAGGGCTCCCGGAGGCCGAGAACGCAAAGGGGCCCACGGGCACGCAAATAGATCAACACAGGCCCCAACATTCCCCATAGCTAATCATGTGTGCTGGGTTCTCGTCTCCCCCCCCACTGCACAACACATGTTCCCATATCTCCCTGGGAGCCGACGAGTGCTTGTGTACGTGTGTTGCTTCCCCTCCCGAAAGCGGCCAAACATCTGCCGTCGCAGTTTTGCCCACGACACGAGCCAACGTCTGGGTCCTCGTAGGCTTCCAGCTGCGCGGCCGCGAAGCGCTGGCGCGCCTGGCCCACCGGCAGGGTGCCCCGCTCCTGTGGGGAAGACAGAGAGAAGCTCGCCATCGCTCGGACGGCCAGATGTTTTTCTCGGTTTCGTGCGTGCTTTTTGTTGCCAGATGCTCCAGGATGCTCCTCGATAGTCCTCGCCGAGAACACATGCACACGCCCCAGCGATGCCAGGGAAAGGTACGGATATTCCTGTTCTCATTGTTTTATTACCTGGACCCCCCCCCTTAAACCGGACCCCGCCCCAGGGACGCTCCGGACGCCCTTTCGGACGTCTCGGCGGCCCCCTGGACGCCCTTGGAAAAGGTTCGGTGGCCCTTCCGGGCCTCCCAGGGTCCCTTGCTGGACCTTGCGAGCCGGCTCAAGGCGATCAGAGGGGTCGTCGGAGAGGCGAACTAGACCCAAGACAGCACAAGAGCGCTCCAAGAGGAACCTCGATGATCTGAAGACAGCCCAACAGACCCCCAAGACACCCCCAGAGGCCGTTAGGAGAGCCCCGAAGAAGCCAAAATCGCCCACTCCCTCGGGATATATATATATATATATATATATATATACATATATATATATATATATGTATATAAATATATGTATGTATGTATGTATGTATGTATGTATCTATGTATATATGTATGTATGTATGTATGTATGTATGTATGTATGTATGTATGTATGTACGTACGTATGTATGTATGTATGTATGTATGTATGTATGTATGTATGTATGTATGTATGTGTGTTGCATATCCGTTTTTTGGGGTCTTCGCAGCGTCCAAGACGGCCCAGTGGGCCCCCGATATCGCCCCAAGACGGACCAAGAGGCCCCCCACAGGGCTTGAAGACGGCTCAAGAGGGCCCCGAGACTGCCCCAGAGAGCCCCGAGACTGCCCACAAGAAACCCAAAATGCCCCTCGAAGGCTCCCAAGTGAGACCCACGGAAGCCCCGGGATACCTCCAAGAAGGCCACTGAAGGCCCGCAAGAGGGCCCTAGATGGCTTCAGAAACTTTTGGAGGGCCCCAGCTCCCCAAGACAGCCCAAGAAGCCTCCAGAACTGCCCAAAAGAGCCCCAAAAACGCCCAGACGGCATTTTCCTACGAAATACATCGAGATGACCCGACGATCTTGGTTCCACGTTCGAGGCTCGAGGTTGAAGTTCCTCGATCGAGAGAGACAGGCAATGGATCTAGATTCTAGATTCGAAGTTCGACGATCGAAGATTTCCTGAGTGTCTGGGGCCCTCCGGGCATTCAGGAAGCGACCAAATATTGTTTTTTCGGAGCTACTGCGACTTATTGGGCGTGTCACGGGAGCGCTTCTTACTTCCTCAAAGGACCTTCGCGCGTAACAAAATAACCATTCCTTCCCAACTCCTGCGCACAAGCGTGCAAGATAATCGGCCGAACGCGGTGCCAGCAGGTACCAGAGATATCGGATACATGAGCTGGTCGCCCGCCCAGGCCTCGAGGTCCCAGTTGCTGAAGCAAACGATGATTCATTGCTTTGCCAGGGAAGCGTCTGGAACAAGGCGCATGGCGCGAAGCGCCAATGAAGTGTTGCATATGTATGTATGTATGTATGTATGTATGTATGTATGTATGTGTGTATGTATGTATGTATGTATGTATGTATGTAGGTAGGTAGATAGGTAGGTAGGTAGGTAGGTATGCATGTATGTGTATATGTGTATGTGTGTGCACGTATGTATGTATGTATGCATGCATGTATGTATGTATGTACTGTATGTATATATGTATGTATGTATGTATGCATGTATGTAGGTATGTATGTATGTATGATTGTATATGTGTATGTATTTATGTATGTACGTGTGTATATATGCATGTATGTATGTATGTGTGGATGTGCATATGTACATGTGTGTATGTACGTATGTATGTATGAATGTATATATGTATGTATGTGTGTATGAATGAATGTATGTACGTGTGTATGTATGTATGTATGTATGTATGTATGTATGTGTGTGTGTATGTATGTGTATATGTGTATGTGTGTCTGTACGTATGTATGTATGTATGCATGTAGGTAGGTAGGTAGGTATGTATGGATGTATGAATGTATGCATGTATGTATGTATGCATGCATGTATGCATACATGTATGTTTATATGTATGTATGTATGTATGTATGCATGCATGCATGCATGCATGTATGTATGTATGTATGTATGCATGCATGCATGCATGCATGCGTGCATGTATGTATGTATGTATGTATATATGTATGTGTATATATATATGTGTGTATGTACGTATGGTTGTTTGTTTGTATGTATGTATGTATGTATGTATGTATGTATGTATGTATGTATGAATGTATGTAGATAGGTAGGTAGGTAGGTAGGTAGGTAGGTTCCGCTGCTGGCCAGACCTATCGCCCGGGGTGCGCTCTGACCAGAACTTTCGAGGCGACTCCAGCGATCGCGGCGAGGGACCCCCAGGAGAGGCCCACAGGAGGCGAAATCGAGGCAAGGGTAGCAGCATGCCCAGACCCCCGACGTCATGATCTTGGCGCTACGTCGACCCCCAGAGCCGTTTCTTGACGGTTCCGAGGCCCCGTGAGGGCCCCCAGAGGCCGAAAACGGGGGAACAACTCCCGCCATGATTTTCTCATTGTTTTAAGGGCTCTGGGAAGGCCTCCTCCTTTCTATTTCCCCCCCTCGCTCGCCGCCGATGCCCGACATGAGCCTATCGCTACCCCCAGGGGGAGTTGGGGTGGAGGAGGAGGAGGAGGAGGAGGAAGAGGAGGAGGAGGAGGAGGAGGAGGAGGAGAAGGAGAAGGAGGAGGAGGAGGAGGAGGAGGAGACCTGGGTGGGTACCTTCTCTTCCTCCTCCGAGCTCCACGGTCAGCCCGAGCGCGAGGCTCCACTCGCCGACCACCGCCGGCAGCCGGCGCAGCTCCCGGGCGTGCTGCTGCACGGCCCGCAGGTGCTGCGCCAGGGTCTTGCCGTCCCAGCCATGGCCGAAGCAGTGGTAGTAGTGGAAGTCGAAGCACACATTCCTGAAGGGCTGAACCTACACGGTGTGTTTCGTTTTCGTTTTGCTGTCCTTTTTCCTGGTTTTGTCTTGAATTCGCCTTTGCTGCAAAACGACATCGAAACGAAAACGGCCCACGAAATCGTCTAAACACCGTTTAGGTCCACCCCTGCATTCCTGACCGGGGGCCCCAATACCCAGACCTCCCAGGGTCATGACATGATCCTGACGAAGGACCCAGCCATGAGCAGTTAGGGATACCGCGTTCAGGGTCCATACTTCGACTGGCCTCAATATCAGGCCACGATCCGGGTGAGGGATCACTTTCTCTTCAAACGAGGGTCCAACACCACAGGCATGTTTTTGCCGACGCCCGAGTGAGTGTCATGGGAAACTTGAGAATCGTACTCATGTTGAATAACTGCGGAGAGGGATTGGAGGAGGAGGAGGAGGACGACGAGAAGGAGGAGGAGAAGGGGAAGGCGAACGACAACGAGGACGGGGAAAGCGCAACGGCTGCCACCCAATTGGCGGGAATTGTGGGAGAACAGCGTAACGGCCGCCACCCCGAAGATACGAGCCTCCTCCGCCTCCGATTCATATATATATATATATGTATATACACATACATACATACAGACACACACACACATCCACGCACGCAGAAGCACACACACACACACACACACGCACGCACGCACGCACGCACGCACGCACGCACGCACGTCCGTGCTCCCCCGCCGCCCCTGGAGGGAGAAAGAAAACGAGGAGGAGGACGCGGCCACTGGGGCCTTGTTGGGTGGAGCTCCCTATGGGGCCGCGAACCGTGTGAGGGGTGTGCCGAAATGGGCATGCGAAGGGCGGGGTGGACGCGTGCGAACCCTGTCACTGGGGACTTGGGCGCCATGCTCCCTATGGGGCCGCGAACCGTGTGAGGGGTGTGCCGAGATGGGCATGCGGAAGGCGGGGTGGACGCATGTGAACGCGGCCACTGGGACCTTGTTGGGTGGAGCTCCGTATGGGGCCACGAACCGTGTGAGGGGTGTGCCGAAATGGGCATGCGAAAGGCGGGGTGAACGCATGTGAACGCGGCCACTGGGACCTTGTTGGGTGGAGCTCCGTATGGGGCCACGAACCGTGTGAGGGGTGTGCCGAGATGGGCATGCGGTGGGCGGGGTGGACGCATGTGAACCCTGCCACTGGGGCCTTGTTGGGTGGAGCTCCCTACGCATGCGGACGGGACGGTTGCACTGGGGCGTCCGGCGGAACTCCCCATGGGCCACGAAGCGCTGTACTGGGTGGGTGAAAATGCCAAATTGGGTGTGTGGGACGCATGCGAGCGGTCCCACTGGGGCCGTCGGTGGGCCTTCTTCTGGGGCCACGTATTGTGTGCGCGGGACGCATGCGGACGGTAAGACTGGGACCTTCGGTGGGTTCCCTACGGGGCCACGAAACGCTGTACTGGGTGGGGGGGACGCATGCGGACGGTAGCCTTGGGACCTTAAAAGTGGGACTCCCTGGGGGGCCACGAAACGCTGTACTGGGTGGGTGAAACGCAGAGAGGAGGGAGGAGGGGGCCACGAAACGCTGTACTGGGTGTGGGGGACGCATGCGAACGGTAGCACTGGGACCTTCGGTGGGGCTCCTTATGGGGCCACGAAACATTGTACTGGGTGGGGGAAACGCAAGGAGGAGGGAGGAGGGGGTCACGAAACGTTGAACTGGGTGGCGGGGGGGGGAATGCATGCGGACGGTAGCACTGGGACCTTCGGTGGGGCCCCTATGGGGCCACGAAACGTCGGTAAAACGCAGGGAGGAGGGAGGAGGGGGCCACGAAACGCTGTACTGGGTGGGGGGACGCATGCGGGCGGTAGCAATGGGACCTTCGGTGGGTTTCCGTATGGGGTCACGAAACGTTGTGCTGGGTGGGTGAAACGCAGGGAAGAGAGATGAGGTGGCCACGCAACGCTGTGCTGGGTGGGGGGGACGCATGCGGACGGTAGCACTGGGACCTTCGGTGGGGCTCTCCATGGGGCCACGCAGCGCTGTAATGGTTGGTGAAACGCAGAGAGGAGGGAGGAGGGAGGAGGAGGGAGGAGGGGAGGAGGAGAGGAGAGGAGAGGAGAGGAACGCGGGGCACCGTTTCTTCAAAACGAGGCCCCAACACCACAGGATGGCTGGGAATGATGACGTCGGGGGTCTGGGATAGGCGGCGCGCCTGGGGGGAAGTGAGAAGGGGCGGGTCTTCTCACAGGGTTCGGAAGTCCCCCGGCCTTCTGAGCAGTTTTTTTGCCTTCCCACAAGACACGACAAAACATCTCAGAAGGCGCGAGGGCTTCTGAGAAGTCCCGCCGCCTTCTGAGATGACCTTCCCCTTCTCACATCCCCCCTCGCTCGCCGCCGATGACTGGGGGCACCAAGCAACATTTCTGCGGCAACTCATGGGAGTCTGCCGGAACATATTGTCGGTTCTTGCGGATTGACGCGAATCGACGCGAATGGAATCTAAAAGCGAAGCTAATCCACGCTAGTCGAGGCTGAACCGGCGCTATCGCATCGACTAATTACCAGACGCTAGTCGACACTAGTGCGCTCTACAATACGAGGCCTCCATGAGCTGATACCGATTAAGACCCCTGCGCGTCGCGAAAACGTCACGACTAAAAATGTTTGCAAATGTTCTGCCTCACTGGGGCCCTCACTGGCCCCCAGGCCCGTGAAAAAAACGACTGAGGATGAAAAGCTGGTTCCCAGGAAGGGGTCCATACCTCAGAGAGTCCAGGTTGTAAGAAACCAAGACGTCGGGGGTGAAAGTCGAAGCATACATTCCTCATTTGGTCAGGAACTAACTTCTGGGGGTTCCATCAAAATGACTATGGACTGATAGGCTCGATTAAGGGGCCATTGACCCGGAAAAGAACAAACTCAGCCCAAGACTGAAAATGATTAAGCCGGACTGCAAGATGAAACGGAACTCGCCGGGACGATGCTGGATTGGGCGTCTTCAACATCGGATACACCGGCGCCGATGCTGATTTTCATCTCCCAGGAGTGGCATCCTGAACTGGGGGTCCCAAGCTGGTGCGGTAGCAGACCCGGTGCGGTGGACTCGGTCTCCCAAAAGACCCCCTCGCACAGCAATTTCCCAGGGATCTCGGATACGGTGGGGGGGCATTGGATAAGGAAGCATCGGATGAGGAATTCAGGGTCCGAAAGCCGGCGGAGCTCCAATCGTGGATTGGACACAGGTTTCACCGCCGCCCTCGTCACAGAAGGAATCTTCCAGGGTCTGAAGCCTCCTGGGCACGCTCCTTCACCAACGCCCCCACCGTATGCTCCAGACGCCTGCGACACGGGCCCCAGAAGCCGTATAGGGGATCACCCCGATCATGCCCCTCCTTGGCTCACCCGAATCGGCATGGTCTCCGCACCGCCGCGGGACTTCCGAGATTCGGTGGTGGACAAACCTCCCGTTAGTAAACCTCCCTTCAGTGAAAACGGCCTGGGACCGAAACCGACGGACCTGACCCCGCAAAAATCACGGCCGCGACGCCCTCTCGCGAACCGAAAACGGCTAATTCCTTAATCGACGTGTCAGGGTAGGAGGTCTGTCCACCCCCGAGAGATCAGATTCCCTGACAGCTGACTTGGCATCTTCGGGGGACCCCCCCTGTCCTGCACACGGCAGGCTTTTCCTGTACTCCCCGATGTGTGGGCTCGACGCGGACTCGGCGCGGGGTCGGCGCGGACTCGATCTGCACGGTTTCGACAAATGTTCGACACGGATCCGACGCGTTCGCCGGGAGGGGCAACAAGTCGTGCCCCCCCGCCCTCACTTGAACGAAGGATTGCCAGGATTGCAAAAAAAACCCTTGGTTTTTTTTGCAATCCTGTTTTTTCTTTTGCAATCGTGGTTTTTTTTGCAATCCTGGGTTTTTGTTGCAAGGTTTCGACACATGTTCGACACGGATCCGACGCGTTCGCCACGGACTCGACACGGACTCGACGCGGATCGCGGCGCGAAACGGGACAGACGCGGCCCCCCGCAGCTCCGGCACGAGAACGCCCGCCGACCTGCCTCTCTCGCTCCCCGCGGCCCTCCCAGAGCCGACCGCAGGCCCCCCCGGGGGGAGGCCCTTGGAGTCCCGGATCCCCCTACTTTGGGGAAATTCGTAAGCAGGGCTTGGAATTTCCGCCTCACTTTTCAAGCCCCGTGGATGCCAACTTCCGCCTTACGTTTCTGTTGTTGTTTCCGCCCTACTTCTGTGGATGTTCGCCCCATTGTATGTTGGATGCAGAAATTTCAGCCCTACTTTTTCGGCTCCTTATAGGTGGATTTCCGACGCAATTTTAAGTTGGAAAAAAAAACAAAATAGAGCAGATCTGGAGTCAGGGACGGGTCCCCGAGGCCCGACTGGGCGCGAATGGGGGGCAAGGAGTGGGCAATACTATCGGGGATGGACAGGCCTCCCTTGTCGTAAAGCGTGGTTCAGTGAAGACGACCCGAGGCCCAAACCTGGCGGGCGCAGGCCTGGAAAAGAACGGCCGCGGCGCCCTCTCGAGAACCGAAAACGGACCATTCACGAATCGACGTGTCACTGCTGGGGGTCCTGTCCACCCCCGAAGTACATGGGCAACAGATGGGCGCGAATGCACGGGGGGGAAAGAGAATGAGGGGGAAGGGGGGCAGCTAGGGCTGCAGATGTAAGTTGCCCTCTGGGGCCCCTGAAAGGGGCCCTGCGGGGCCCCAGAGAGGGCCATCGAGGCCCGACGAGGACACCTCTCCCTTCCCCCCGATGCATCGGCCTCCCATGACTTCGCGCCCAATGCGAAGTCTGAGAAAAACTGCTGGGATCGGAAAGAACAGATCGTCGGAGATCTGCGTCCTGAGCAGCCCGCCTGACGCGTCTTCCCACGCCTGGACGAAGCCCTCCGACGACCGCTGGAAGTAGAAGAGCAAAGCACGGCACAAACACACACCGGGCGGTGGCGCGACTGGGCTTTACCGGGACCTGGTCTCGTGCTGTGCACCGTGAGAGCCGCCCCTCTTTGAGCAGGGACCGACCGCCCCGGCATTCCTATGGGCATACCACGACATGTTCTTCGAACCAACAGGATGTTCCAATCACAAACAAGTTCTTAGAACATAAACCCGAAGTGTTGAAATAGGACAGTCCCACCCAGACACGTTCTAAGAACGTTTCGCGGAGACCACAAAAGATTATTGTAACATTCTTTGATGGGCCTATGGGCAAGCTAGGACGCTTCGCCACTGATTGACCCCTGCCCCACTCCGCATCTGCCGCCACCCGAAACAAAAACAGGCTACAGCTGACCTAATCTGAATAGGATTGGCTCAGGGGCTCCAGGGCCCAATCACGCCCTGGCCTCCCTGACCCGAGGTCCCAGAGCCCCCAGGTCATGATTGTTTCATGACGTGGACCCCTGGAGGTCTCGACCAATTCCGCGGGACCGGCTTTCCATCCCGAGTCGTTTTTTGACGGTCGCGAGGCCCAGCAAAGTCGAAAATGACGAAAAACTATCTCTCGTGATGTTTTCATGATTCGAAGAGGTCTGGGACCCGAGGTCCTGGCTATCTCAGAGCACGCGGTCGAAAGCCCTCGCGCATCTCTTGGATCGGCGCCGGCGCGCAGGAAACGCGCCGATGACGGCGCTGCATGCGCCGCGCGCCGATCCGACAGATCGTCGCAGGCCTTTGAAAACTTCCTTCGATTAAAGAAAAAACAATGACATAAAGATAAAGTTGCGGAGGTCCGCGTGGATTTCTTAGATCGGCGCTGGAGGCATCGCCGGGGGGCTCCAGCGCTTTCAGACGAATCCGCGGGGACCTCCGACAATGTTTGTTGAATTAGCATATTTTGAACGATCCATCTCCCCACTGGCGTGGCCTGGGCTCCACTGGCCAATCGAACCTTGAGAAGTATCTAAGACCCCCCCCCACCCCCTGTTATGTTAGCACCGCGAAAAAATCCGCGGGTGATTTGAGCGGAATGATGTGCTTACCACCGCGTAAACTGCAAAAGAGAAAAACAGCCAACCCCGGGCTCGGTTTCAACATCTAACTTATCGCCTTGGCGCCGCGCGCACTCACTAAGACAATTTCCCAGAGCTTCACGGACGGAGGGCGAAACGGTTTCAACATCTAGCTCCCGCCTCGGCGCCGCGCGTATTCAGGAGGGGGACGGGGAGGAGGAGGAGGAGGAGGAGGAGGAGGAGGAGGAGGAGGAGGAGGAGGAGGAGGAGGAGGAGGAGGCGGAGGAGGAGGAGGAGTAAGGAGGAGGAAGGAGGAGGAGGAGGAGGAGGAGGAGAGAGAAAGACACAGCAGAAGAGGGTGCCAGAGTGCCTGTGCGCCCACTCGCCGAGGCCGCCGAGCACGACGGGGCTGGTCCCTCAGACGACCAGGGACCTGTCCAGCCACGGATCCCTCACACCCTTGGGCCCTGCTGGAAGTGGGAGCCACAGCTCTACCAGCACTCCTGGGCGGGTCAGACCAAAGGCCTGGCCCACGACCACGCCGTAGAGCACCATGAAGAAGCCCGGGGCGACGACGATGCCCTCCGGCAGCGCGCTCAGGGCGAACCCCGAGCCAGCACGTGCCCGAACGTTCTCCGGCGGAGCGCTTCCGGAGCACGTTGGGCCCCATTGCTAACGCCACCTGGCATCGCAACGAAAACTATGCAGCCGACGTGGAGGCCGAAGCCGTTCTGGCCTGGTGGCCAGGCCTGCTGTCCAGCAGCAGGGAGCCCGCGGTCATCGCGTTGGTGGCACCACGCCAGGGCCTCCCAGTCTCCAGCGCGACCCGCGTGCTGGGATGCAGCCCGCGCCGCAGTTGCTTCACTGCGTCCTTCTCCTTCCACCGCGTCTTAGGCACCTGGGATGGCCCTCGGCACGGATCCCTGGACTTGAGCGAGAGCCGATTCGACTCGCTGGACCAAGCGCCGCAGACCGCGCACCAGATCGCGAACCCCGCCGTCTCCGTGACGTGGCGGACGCCCACCGTCGGCGGCTCGCACGGCGAACAGCATAAAGTTTGGAGCAAGGCCTTGGCGGTCGCGAAGCGGTAGCACACCGCGCACTTCAGCACTCCGTTGGTGAGTTGCTTGAGGTCGTGGGCCACGATACTCAACTCTGGTACCTTCATGCCCGCCTGGGCCACCTTGGCAACCTGCTGCGGGACCGCAGCTGACCCGCCAGCTGAAAGCCGCACTGCGCGCTCAGCCGCCCAGGCCACGTAGCGCATGGCCTCCCGAACGTCCCGCAGCTGGATCTCGCACGCCCGCGCGTGCACCTCCGGCACCATGATGCTGGCCGAGCCCATCTTGGCGAAGACGTCGGCCCAGAAATTGCCGACGTAGCGGAAAGCCGTGCCGTCGGCCAGCACGGCGTCCTCCAGCTCGCGGTGGGCACGCACCCACTGTGCAGTCGGCATGGGCACGCCGCGCCCCTCCGATTTGCCGCCAGACCATCGCGTGCGGAGCTCGCGGCCTGGTGCGCTACCCTGCCACTCGTGGACCTCCTGCACGAACGGCATGTGGTCTGACAGCACGTGCACTGGCGGCCGCCCAAGCTGAATGGTTCGCATGCAGGCGTACCGCTCCGACCTCGGCACCGTCTGCACGAGCCCCGGGAGGCCGCCCCAGCGCGCCTTAATCGGCAGCAGCTCGCCCGAGATCTGCACGACTGACCATCCGCACCTGCGCGCCTCCACAAACGACGAGCGGCGGCCAGACCCATCGACAAAGAGCTGCTGCCCCCAAGCTTGCCCCTCCAGCCCCCACTCGAACTCCGGGAGCTCCTCGGGGACCTGGTCGGGCAGCGGAGGGGCGAGCGGCAGGGCGAACTCAAGGTGCTCGTAGCTGGGCCCATCGCCCGTGTCCACTGCCTGCCCCCGCAGCCTCTCCCGGGTGACCAGCAGCTCCTCGGGGAAAGGGCCCTCCTCCTCATCGTCCTGCTGCCGCTGCACCGCCTCGCACTCGAAGTACAAGTGGCCGTTGGAACCCTCGGGCGCGCCGCGCAGCACGCAGTCCGGTGTCTCGCACCTCCCCACAAGGAAAGAGCGCTGAGGAGGCCAGAGCGCGTTGGCCTGGAGTGCCCGCAGGGCCCCGCTCCGCCTTGGGCAGCGGCCCACGTCCTGGTGGCCCAGGGCCAGCGCCCCCCCCCCCAGACCTGGAAGCCCTGGTAGTGCGCGGGGTAGTGCGCCAGCATGCGGGGCTCCTGCCATCTCATGATGCCCTGCTCCAGGAGAGTCAGGACATCCGAAGGCGCCTGGCGCAGCAACTGCGCGACCTGGCCGCGGTCGCCCCGAAAATGCATCGGGCCGCGCAGCTGCCAGTCTATCCGGCGCAAGCTAAGCCATACTGCCGCCAAGGGCCCGCGGCAATGGGCCCACGTGACCTCCCTGGCATCCTCGAACTTGGACTGCATGGCGAGGAAGGCCTTGCAGAGCCTCGCGGGAGAGCCCCTCGCTTGCCAGACCCAATCTGCGAAATTCCCGACCACCGCCATCGTGACCTCGAAGATCGGGTCGAAGGTCCTGGATGGCATCGTCATTAGGTAGGTCATCAAGGACCCGAGGCCCTTGTAGCCCGCGAAGCGGCCCGCCGTCGCACGGAGCTGCCGGAGCGACTGGTCTTCGCACCCGGCCACGCTCGCGCCGCGTGCGGCCGCTGGCAGGACCCCCGTCTTCCAGAGGATGCCCGCCTTCCTGGGCCCCACGGCCTTGCGGAGCTGGTCGATCTTGCTCCACTTGCCGCCCATTTTCACCATGCGACGCCTATGGGCCAGCTTTTTGACCGCCCTGCCGTGGAGCTCGTGGCCAAGGTTCCGCATGTGGGCTTTCCCGCGGAAGCGGATGACCTTTACGTTCTCCGCGTGCTTCCGCTTCGCCTCCCTCGTCGCGGCGACGAACCCGCACTTCGCGGGCTGGACCAGGCAGCCGAGCGGCTGCAGCTCCAATCAGAAGGTGCGCACCGTGGTCCAGAGCTGGCCGAGGGTGCTCAGGTCAGTCCCAACCCACTGGAAGGAGGCGTCGTCGATCAGCGCGCGTGGCCGCACCAAAGGGCCCCTTGCTATCGACGCTTTCAGCCCTCTCGTAAGCCAAACCCTGGCCAGCGTCGCGGCGTGGGAACGCCCGGCTAGCATGCCCTGGAAGGCCGTGACCATGGCGGAGAGCGAGCCGCAGGCGCGGATCGTCCGCGGCTGCTGGTACGACCCCACCAGCATCCACGTCATGCGCATGGGGTAGCCAGGGGCCTGGCAGCAATCCAACAGGACATCGTGCCGCACCAGCTCATTGAACTCGAGGAGGTCAACAAGCACCGTGACTGCGTGCTCCCCCAACAAGCCCGCGATCTCCGCCTCCACATTGGTCTCGAAGGCTGACGTCGAGGAAGACCTCCCCGCCCCTGAGCCCCAGAAGAATTCGGAGGGGAAGCTCTGCTCCCACGCCTCCGAGACGCCGCGCCGCGCCTTCCCCCAGACGCGCACCAGCGTATTCATGAGGGCGATCAGGCGGTGCCCCCCGTCGCTCTTGGGGAGCCGCACCAAGGTGGTCAGGAGGCGGCCCTGCTGCCAGACCGCCAAGGCTTCGCAACGCATGAAGAGGAGGGCCACCGCATGCAACGCCTCGTCCGACGCCTGCCCGAGGAGCCTCGGCGCTACCGGAACCTGGCCCACTCCTGTTTTCCACGGGAAGGTGCCGACGGCATGTCGGATGTCCGCTGCTGTCAGCTCTGGGAGGGGGTCCCCACGTCCGAGGGCGGGTCGAGCTGGCGGCCGTTGTGCGTGCTCCATATCTGCCCCCACTGCTGCATGCAGTCGTCCGCGTGCTTGTAGGGCTGACCACCCTGCGAACTCTGAAGAACTTCCGGGAGCTCTCGAGGTCCAAGAAACCGGTGTGCAAGCCCAGCGCCACCTGCCAATGCCTGCTCGACCCAGTGCCGCCAGGAGCGCTCCTGAGCAGCTGCGGCCTTGGCCCGCAGCTCATCGGCCCTACTGGTGACGCACTCCACCTCTTCGTTGAGATCGGGCTCGGCCATCCGCAACAGGCCAGCCTGGAACAGCTCCCGCGCACGCTGGCCCAGCAGGGGGAGCACGGCCGAGTTCTTCTGGATCCTGCTGAAGAAGCCAATTAGATCGTACAGCGACTTGCCCATCTTGGCGCACAGCTGCTCCTCAGACGGGCTGCCTGCGCCCCCCCGAGCCGGAGGGGGGGCCGGCGCAGCAGGGGCCGGCTTGGCGCCGCCAGCTGAGGTCGTCGCAGATGGCCTGTCGGGGGGGAAATTCGTTACGTTTCCCTCCTGCTGCTGCCGCTGACGTCCATGCTTTTTCGCGGGGTCCTTCAGCACCTCGCAGAGGTGGTCGTGGTAGTAGCTCATGTTTCCAATATCCCTGGCCCACCTCGCAGCCACCGCCCAAGCTTGCGAAGCCCCATCGCGCCTGTCGCCGATCTTCTTGTTGGTGCCCTGCGGCTGGAAGTGCCCCCAGAGCATTCCGATCGGTCCGCTGATGGGCGTGCCCTTGGTCTCGTCCAGGCGGTCCAGCCTGCCCAGCAGCTCGATGTGGAGGCCCTCCGGCACGAGGTGCCACGCCTGGCCCAAGCCCGTCTTGTCCGTCGCGGCCTGGATCACCGCCTGCGCCCGCCCCCAGTCAAGCGGAAACCGCGCACAGCCTGGCGGCGGCGGCTCCCGCAGTTTCCAGGGTTCGGATATTTGCCTGACCCACAATGTCCTAGGCTTCCCGTGGAAGCCGAGGCTGACGGGCACGTGCGGGCCCGTGCTGACTGCGTCATCGACCTCGGCCCTGGTGATGGGCTGCTGCACGTTCGGGTCCGTCCTCGGAGCTTGCTCTGCTCGCAAACCCATCGTCACGCTAACGAGCAAATAGTCATATATAACACCAGGCCATGCCGCTGTACAGGTCGGCTGCGTCGTGGCGTAGACCAGCCCCTGCGCAGCCCGAAACTCATGCAGCTCCGCCAAGACCGACGGCTCCAGGTTCCAGTCGCCCCCGAGCACCCACGGCATCCCGATGGCGTTGAGGCGCACCAGGTACCCCATCACCTCGCGCAGGATGGCGCGACTCTCGTCCGAGAGGCCCTCCGCGCACCGGAGGTACAGTGAGACCGCCACGCAGCCCTTGGCGAGCCCCGCGTGCACATCCAGCCACGGCCCGCCCGGGCACCAACGTGGGCTCTGCCGCCAGAGGCGGCGCAGAGACCATCACGTTGCTGGGAACCAGTACCGCCACCCCGCTGGAGTCCAGGGTGCCTTGGCCTGGCAGCGCAGCCGCCCAAACTCCATGGAATCCACGCTGGGCCGCTTGGTGTTGAGCGTGCCCTAGTCGGCCCTCGGCCGCGCGGTGCTCCTGTACCAGCAAGCACTGGCACTGCGGCTCACCATCCAAGAAATCCTTCAGCCCTTGAGGCCTCCACCATTGTATGTCGTGATAGTGTAGATCCTCGCCATGGCAGCAAACATAAACAAACCAACAAAAATAATAACACCACCATGCTTATGCACGAACGTCGGTCCTGGCCTTCTTGGAGACAGAGGCCGCGAAGTTCTGGGTGGCATCGTAGGTGCGCTTGGCCAGCGAGCGGAGCTGCTCCTCGTCCGCCTCGGCAGGGACAGACTGGGAGATGGACTCGAGGAACTGTCGCAGCTGCTCCGCAGAGAGGTCCGCCCAAGCTGGCACGCCAGGCTGTTGCTCCGGCTGCGTACCTCCTGGAGGCTTCGCCCCCACCTCAGGAGCAGCCTGCTCACGCAGCTGCTGCGCGCGGAACTCCGCCTCCTCCGCTGCCTTCTGAACAGCCTCATTGGCCTTGACCTCCGCGACCCGGAAGCTCTGGATGATCTCGTCGCTGAGTTCCCCAGGAAGGCCCTTGGCCGAGAGGTACGTGCCGAGGCTCGCCATGACCGCAGTAAGACCAGGCACGAAGTCACCAGGCCCAGGAGCAGGCCCAGCAGGAGGCGCCGCATTGACCCCAGGGATGCGCGCCGTGAGCTCCGAGAGACTCTGCTGGGCGCTGGTGAGCTCGCCGTCCAACTTGGCTGCTCGCGCCTGCGCCTCGCCCAGGGCCTCCTGCGCCTTCTCGGCTGCTCGCTTGAGCTCCTCAACCTTCTTGGCATGCTTGGACTGAACGGTCTGGAGCCTCCGCACCTCGCGATTGGCATCCTCGATCCTCTTGTTGAGGGGCTTGGCCTCCACCGTACGCCTCTTGAGCTCCGCGAGCTCAGACTTGAACTTCGTGGCCATCTCGATGTACGAGGGCTCATCCTGGCCGCTGGCCTCCAAGCGCGGAATCTCGCGCTGCAGGAACTCCATGCGCTTGCGATCCACTTTCGGAGGCTCCTCTTCCAAATCCATGGCCGCCTGGTCGGTGTCCGCGGGGGGGCGGCTGGTCGCCTGCTGCAGCTGCTTCTTGAGCTTGGCGATCTCGTCCGCCTGCAGCTGGAGCTGCTTCGCCTCCGTTGTCCATGGCAGACCCTTGGGCGGCACCTTAGTTGACGGACAGGCCGGCGGCACCCCTCCGCCGAAGGAGACGCCCTTGTGGAGCTTGCACCGCGTACAGCGGGTCGACGCTGCACCATTGATGAACTTGCTGCCATCGGCTCGGGTGCAAGACTTGCAGAACCAGGCGGATTTCATCTTCCCAAAGTAGTCCCATGATCGGCCCACAGTGTCGACCCAACTCTTCGCACCCATCGCTGCTCGCACACAGCAGTCGCCCAGACTAGCGCGCGGAGTAACAGGTGAGGGAAAGATCGGCGGGCAAGCCCGCGAAAACACTTGTGGACTGGCCGCGGACTAGAGGTATCCCTTTTCGCCTTGGGGCTGAAAGCCCCCAAAGCAAGCATCTTGAGCCAAAATGGCTACGGACAGGAGGAGGAGGAGGAGGAGGAGGAGGAGGAGGAGGAGGAGGAGGAAAAGGTGGAGGAGGAGAAAGAGGAGGAGGAAGAGGAGGACAAAGAGAAGGAAGAGATTGAGGAGAAGGACGAGGAAACAGAGGAGAGCAGGAGGAAGAGGAGGAGGACAAGCAGGAAATCAGGAGGAGACGGGGGAGGAGGACGCGGAAAAGGAACAGGAGGAACACATGGGGGACCGGAGAAGGAGGAGGAGGAGGAGAAGGACGCCTCCGTCGCCGTCCGAATCCCCTCCCGCGCCCGGCGGCTCCACACCTAGATCTGCAGCGCGCGCATTGTGCCAGAAATCACCTTTACGCCTGGACACCGCCTCGCTAGCCTCGCACGCAGGCGCCACAACCCCTCTGCAGGGCGCATGTCCAGGTGTCGCGTGAGCGGGTCAGCACTCGTGGACGAACATCCCCTGGAATGCCATCTCCGGCAGCATGCTCAAAAGAGGGCCCGGCGCGAGCCGGTCGTGAGCAAGGATGACGGCACGCCTGGCAGCCTGCTGCCCCGGACCCGCACGCCTGGAACTCGCGCCTTCCACCTTGTCCTCCGCCTCCTCTGCCCCCTGCGCCTCCCGCTCTGCTCTCTAAAGAGCCGAAAAAGAACTCCGAACCCGTGCTCTGAGCTTGCAGCACACCAAACTCTCCCGCGATGGGTCCTCCCCTTGTCGTGTAGTCGGTCCGACAATGCGCCATGGTCACTGCGTCCATGAACGCGGCTGCAAGCGAGTGCAGCACATGCTCCCGCAAACAAGCCGACCCAGCCCCACCCGCTGCACCAGGAGGCGATGCCCCCGCGGCGGCAGCTGTGGCGGTGCTCGACGCAGCCCCGAAGGAGGCAGGAGCAGACGGCACGGGAGCTCCGTGGCGCGCATCATCATATCCTGGAGGCAGCGGACCGTCAACGAACGCAGCATCCCCATCATCACCCCCGCCCTGCTCATCGCAGCCCAGCTCCAAATAATCCACTTCCGCGTCGGGATCATCCATCGTCGTCCGCGCCCCACCCGACAGACGCCCGACGGGCAGGCGTGCGCCTCGCGCAACAGCCGAGACTGCGGACCCCTGGCCTGGCTCGGAAAACCAATGCAATCCACCCTCTGGCCGCGTCGCGTCCGAAGCCGCTGAGCCCGTAGAAACTGCGCATGGCCCACTGCCCTCATCGCCACCGCCGCCTGCGAAGGCGCCCAACTCCACCGCCCCCACCCCGCCCGTCTCGCCGAGCGAAGCGCCATCCAAAGAGAACGCGACACGATCGTCGGCGGGGGGCGCACTCCCAACGCCATCGTCGACGACAAGACCTGCTCAGGTCGAAGCAACTTAACGATCTGCTTACGGCAAGCGTTTTCCTGAGCAGACCTGAGCAGATCGCGTCGACGACGCTTGCCAGGGTTCTGAGCAGATTTTCCTGAGCAGATCGTGTCGAAGACGCATGCCAGGGTAGCAGGTCGTGTCGGGGACGCACGCCAGGAGTTCTGGAAAGCATGCCCAGGGGGCCCGCAAGCGTGGGAAAACGCCTATGGTGGACTCTTGCCAGGACGCTGGAAAGCTCGCCTGGAGAGCTTGCAAGCTTCGGAACACGAGCTTCGAGGAAGCTTCGAGGGAACTGCGGAGAACCTGCGGACAGGCATAGAGCCCGCATCTTGCGAGCGGGTAGGAAAACGCTTGCCGAACACGCTGGAAGCTCAGGCAGGGCGCTGCGAGGATGCCTGACCGGGAGCCTTGGAGAGGAACTGGCGTAGCCCTGCCTGCCGGCTTCTTATCTAACAACCCTCTTAGCTCTCCCAGGAGCTATCCGGGAATGAGGGTCATAGGGCTCAGAAGGCTCATAGGGGCTCGCGTGGCTCATAGGCCTCATAGAGATCATAGAGCACACAGGGCTTATAGGGCACATGGGATTCATCGAACTCATAGAGGTCAGAAGGCTTACACCACGCTCAAGCGAAAACCACATTTTGAAAACGAGCCACCCTCCATCCGTCAAGCTGTTGCATCGTGTTTACAAAGAATGCGCGCAACGTTGAGGCGAGAACCGCAAATTGAAAACAAGCCGCCCTCAACCCGTGAAAGCCTTACACCGTTTTCAAAACGAATGTGCGCGGCGCTGAGGCGAGAGCAACATTTTGAAAACGAACCGCCCTCCACCCGTGACACTTTTGCAACGTTTTCAAAAAGAATGTGCGCGGCGCTGAGGCGAGAGCTACTTTATGAAAACGAGCCACCCTCCATCCGTGAAGCTCTTGCAACATTGTCCAAACGAATGTCCGCGGCGCTGAGGCGAGAACCACATTTTGAAAACGAGCCGCCCTCCATCCGTGAAGCTCTTGCAATATTTTCGAAACGAATGTGCGCAACTCTGAGGCGAGAGCTACAATTTGAAACAGAGCCGCCGTCAATCAGTAAAACTCCTGCTACGTCTTCAAAACGAATGCGCGCGGCGCGGAAGCGAACACATCATTTTGAAAACGAGCCGCCCTGCATTCGCGAAGCTCTTACAACATTGTCAACATGAATGTGCGCGGCGCTGAAGCGAAACCAACATTTTGAAAACGAGAGCCGCCCTGCATCCGCGAAGTCTTGCAAACATTGAAAACGAATGTGCGCGGCGCTGAGGCGAGAATGACTTGTTGAAAACGAGCCGCCGTCAATCCGTAAAGCCCTCGCAAGTTTTAACAACGAATGTGCGCGGCACTGAGGCGAGAGCAGCATTTTGAAAACGAGCCGCCCTCAGTCCATGCAACTCTTGTGGCGTTCTCAAGACGAATGCGCTCGGCGGTGAGGCAAGAGCTACTTTTTGGAAAAGAGCCGCCCTCCATCCATGAAGCTCTTGCAACATTATGAAAACGAATGTCCGCGGCGCTAGAGCGAGAACCACATGTTGAAAACGAGCCGCCCCAAATCCGTGAAACTCTTGCAAGTATCAAAATCGAACGTGCACGGCGCTGAAAAGAACACCGCATTTTGAAAACGAGCCGCCTTCCACCCGTGAAGCTCTTGCAAGATTTGATATCGAATGTGCGCGGCGCTGAGGCGAGACCAACGAGCCGCCCGGCATCCGTGAAACTCTTGCAGATGTTTGAAACGAATGTGCGCAGCGCTGGGGCGAGAGCAATGAGCCGCCCTCCATCCGTGAAGCTCTTGCAAATTTTGGAAGCGAATATGCGCGCGGCGCTGAGGCGATAGCCACATCATCCTTCCGGCGCGGGGAGAAGGCCCGGGTGGGCATGGAAGTCGGCATGGGCGACGAAGCATTTTATGATTCGGCGTCTCGACCTTGAGGAGGAGGAGGAGGAGGAGGAGGAGGAGGAGGAGGAGGAGGAGGAGGAGGGGATGGTGAGGGGGGGGGGTCTGGCTCCGAACCTCTGCTCAATGTGACGGTTTGCAGCAATGTGACCCGTGGGGGAGGGACTCCGCCTGCCCGAAAAAGGCACCAGCAACAGCCAGATCCACTCTAGGGGGGGAAGGAAGGTCGGGAGTGCGAGGGACCGCGCCGCGCCAATCGGCAAAATAATGAGTTTGAAAACTACGACATGGGCGATGGAGGGGCTGCTTGACTATCTGCCAGACAACCCGAACCCAGCCCGAAGACCCGAAAATTCCGCCCGAGTTTCGGGCTGGGGGGGGTACGGGCTTCATGTGTGTTTTCGTTCAGTGTTCCCCGAACCCCCCCCCACTGGGCCTTCGGGTTGGGTTGGGGTGGTTTGGTGGGCGGTGTCAGGAGCGGCCAAGAGGGGGTGTCCAAGAGGGGGGGTGCAAACCATGACCGGCGGCGTGTGCGCGGCCCAGCGGGGGGCCAGGGACGTAATGAAACAAGAAGAGGCGCCATGAAACCTCGGGAAATGTCATGGTATCCCCCCCCCCTTAGTCAGCACCCCCCTCTCTGCCGCCCCCGACAGTGACCGATCGATGCCGTGCTTCGCTCTCCCGGGAAGAGCGGCAGCACCACCGTGACCTTGTCTGAAGTCGGGCCTGTCCCCCTACAGAGGGACCCTCGACGAAAACTTGAAAAATTTACCAAAAATGCCCCCAAAAGGTCTATCAATACTGGAAACATAGTCCCCAGACTATGTTTGATTTTTTTTACTATTTGTGGTGGTAACCCCAGGAAGCATTTTAGAACCCCCCGGCGATATCGTAGCACCACATTTTTTATTCGATATTCCGAGGGGCCGAAATAACCGAACGATAGCTTTAGCATCCGGACACAAGGAGGGCTCCTGGTGCCAGGTAACGCTCCCAGGGTGCGGAAGGGTTATCGATTTGCCGGAGGGGGGGGGTTCTTAAATGCTTCCTGGGGGTAATTCTTAGCTTTCGCAGGGACAAGCCCGACTCAGACCTTGTCCTCGCCCATGCCGGCCGCGCGCACGGCCCGGACGGCCCGCGCGTAGTAGCGGCAGAGCGCGGGGCTCGGCATGGTGCTCGAGGGCTCGTTGCACACCTGCGGCTGCCCGCGGGGGGGCGGGCGGGCGACAACCCGGGACCTCCTCGAGCCGGGAATCTCCTCCTCCTCCTCCTCCTCCTCCTCCTCCTCCTCCTCCCCCTCCTCCTCCTCTCCCCTCCTCCTCCTCCTCCTCCTCCTCCTCCTCCTCCTCCTCCTCCTCCTCCTCCTCCTCCTCCTCCTCCTCCTCCTCCTCCCGCTCTGGAGGTCTGAACTCCTTCGAACCCGGTGGCCCGAACAAGAATCACGACGGACGACCCCGAGGGCTCGTTGCACACCTGCTGCTGCCCGCGGGGGGGGGGCGTGCGCAAGCCCGGGACCTCCTCGAGCCGGGAGCAGAAAAGTCAAGCTGCGAAACAATTAAGGAACACTTAAGGAACGCGGAGCCCCTCCCCAACGAAAAGGGTTCCTTCTTCAGGGCCCCGACTGTAATGCAACTCTCGCGCGCGGTCCATCTCCCCGCGCCCCCCCCTGTTCAATGCTCGCGGGGGTGGGCGTGCGACAACCCGGGACCTCCTCGAGCCGGGAACAAAAAAATCACGACGGACGAGCCTTCGCGCCATCGCTTCTGCCTCCGAGGGGGCTCGGGCCGGGCCTCGGGACGGTCCACGACGGCTCGGGGGGGGGAAGGGGTCGAGGCCCGTGGGGGTCAACGTTTAAAAAAAATCATGGCGTCGGGGGTCTGGTTGAGCCGATGCCTGCCCCACTGGCGTGGGGTGGGCCCCGCTGGTCAACTTCTTACCCACCTGCACTGCCCTGGAAAAGTACAGTCGGGGCGTTGACCTAAGGAACCCTAAATAAGGAACGAGGCCCCTTTTTCTCATACGTTAAACTTCGATGTCCCGTCGAAAGCTTAAGGAAAGCCTTAGGCAAGGTGTGGAACAATCAAAGAACACCCAGCCCCTCCCCAACGAAAATGGGGTTCCTTCTTCAGCGCCCCGACTGTAATGCAACTCTCGCGCGCGGTCCATCTCCCCGCCCCGTGGTGGACCAGTCAGGCCAAGGAGCGTGCTGCCCGGCGGCGGAGCTGAAGCCAGCTGCACGCAGCAGACTGCGCAGCCCTGGCTCTTCTTGCCCAGAGGTCCGACCCTGATGGTTCTTCCGTTCTGGAAGTCTGAACTCCTTCACCCTGGGGGCCCGCTTTTCCTTCTGAACCGTTCTCTGATGGCCGCGGGGCCTGGCGAGGGCCGTCAGGGGGAGAGAACGACGAAGCACCTCCGTCTTGATGGTTGGATGCTCACTCTGGGGACCTTCCTGGAGACACTCGCGCCACTCTCGCGGCGAAGCTGCGGCGAAGGTCCGTCGATCTGGATCGACCCCGAGTCGAGCCAGAGTCCACCTCGAGTCGAACTCGAGTCGAACTTGAGTCGAGGCTGGGTCGAACTGGGGTCGAACAGATCCGTGGGGCGGGCCCCAGGAAGGTCCCCCAAACGAGCATCTCATGATCGCTTCAGCACGCTAGAGTTGGGTCGGGCATGTCCTCTTACAGGCGGATCCTGGACGGAAGAAAAAGGATACCCAGAGCATGCTCAAAAATAATCGGAAATTGTCCAGAAATCGCCCGCGGACTTTTGAAAGGGGCCCTGGGACACACAAATAAATACATACAAAAAAAATGGTTTCCCATATGTTCCATATCTTTAGGATTTCCGTCTTCCCCCCACTCCCCATATTTTCCAATATTTCCTGGGAGATCGGCGATGAATTGTGTCTGTGTTTTTTCCCCTCCTGACTTTTTCGGGACTGTTCCTTGATGTCCCACCCGTGGAGGGACAGGCCCGACTCCACGCCAAAGGTTAGGTCGGGCCTGTCCCACCACAGGAGGATTCTCGACGCAAAATCAAACATACCCCCAAAATGCCCCAAAATGGTCCCAAACTAGTCCCCAGACTATTTGTTTGGATTCTTTCTGGACCATGTGTGCGGCATTTTTTTTTTTTGTCGAAAATCCCCCTGTGGGGGGACACGCCCGACTCCACGCCAGAGGCCTGGGCCCCGGCACCCCCCTCGGTGGCCGGCCCTGCGCGCCCGCTCCCGGGCGGCTGGCACAACTTATGCTGCACCGCCGCTCGACCGCTCACTCCCACGGCATCGGCCGGCACCGAGCCGGGAGGTCGGACCGAATCGCTCCTCCCCCTCCTCGCCTTCCTCCTCCTCGTCGTCCTCCTCCTCCTCCTCCTCCTCCTCCTCCTCCTCGTCGTCCTCCTCCTCCTCCCCCCCCTCCGCTCCTCCTCCTCAACCTCCTCCTCCTCCTCCCCTCCTCCTCCTCCCCCTCCCCCCCCTCCTCCCCCCTCCTCCCCTCCACCTCCTCCTCCTCCCCCTCCTCCTCCTCCTCCTCCTCCTCCTCCTCCTCCTCCTCCGCCGCCTCCCCTCCTCCTCCTCCTCCTCCTCCTCCTCCTCCTCCTCCTCCTCCTCCTCCTCCTCCTCCTCCTCCTCCTCCCCGCCTCCTCCTCCTTCCTCCTCCTCCTCCTCCTCCTCCTCCTCCTCCTCCTCCTCCTCCTCCTCCTCCTCCTCCTCCTCCCTCCTCCTCCTCCTCCTCCTCCTCCTCCTCCTCCTCCCTCCTCCTCCTCCTCCTCCTCCCCCCTCCTCCTCCTCCTCCCCTCCTCCTCCTCCTCCTCCTCCTCATCCTCCTCCTTCCTCCTCCTCCTCCTCTCTCCTCCTCCTCCTCCTCCTCCTCCTCCTCCTCCTCCTCCTCCTCCTCCCTCCTCCTCCTCCTCCTCCCTCCTCCTCCTCCTCCTCCTCCTCCTCCTCCTCCTCCTCCTCCTCCTCCTCCTCCCCTCCTCCCCCTCCTCCTCCTCCTCCTCCCTCCCTCCTCCTCCTCCTCCTCCTCCTCCTCCTCCTCCTCTTCCGTTCTCTCTCCTCCTCCTCCTTCCTCCTCCTCCTCCTCCTTCCCTCCTCCTCCTCCCCTCCTCCTCCTCCTCCTCCTCCTCCTCCTCCTCCTCCTCCTCCTCCTCTCCTCCTCCTCCTCCTCCTCCTCCTCCTCCTCCTCCTCCTCCTCCTCCTCCCTCCTCCTCCTCCTCCTCCTCCTCCTCCTCCTCCTCCTCCTCCTCCTCCTCCTCCTTCCTCCTCCTCCTCTCCTCCTCCTCCTCCTCCTCCTCCTCCTCCTCCTCCTCCTCCTCCTCCTCCGCGACTCGAATCGGATCGGCCGCGCTGGGATGCACATCAGCGCCATGCAAGCACTGGGCCGCATCGGACCGTCGGGAAAATCGGAGTCGCATCGGATCGAGACGGCCGAGACCGATCTCGGATCGGGCACCGCTCGTGATCTCGTCCGACCCGCACCTCGATGCCGGTCACTGCGGCGCAGGACTGGTAGCGCTTGGCCAGCACGCCCAGGGCGAGGAGCGACTCCTCCGTGCGCCACTGCCGCCAGTGCCACTGGCCCATGTCCTGGTGCCGGCCGCACGGCGCGTCGCCGCTCTCACCTGCTGCGGAGGCAACGCCACGGGGAGACTGGCGCACAGGGGGGGAGGGAGACACCGACCTGGCAGCCCAGACCCCCTCGAGACGTAATAAAAAACGCGACGGAGGGCTTTGTCTTGATGTTCGGCCTCTGGGGTCCCTCGGCGGCCCCAGGGACTAGGTCGAGGCCTCGGGGGGTTGACGTCATGAAAAAATCGTGGGGTCGGGGGTCTGGGATCGGTGGTGCACCGCCGATAGATCGGCGATGGGACCTCGAGAACGAACCAGCACGTTCCTGGGCGGGGTGAGCTATGTCGGGTCCTATATCGGCGACCAAAAAGCGATTGGAGGTCGATGCATCCCCCCCCCTGGCCTGGCCCCCCTACCATTGCTTATGCTGCATCCTCGGGAGACCTTGTCTGTCCCGTCACGGCCCTATCCGCGTCGAATCCGTGCCGAATCCGTGCCGAATCCGCGCCGAATCCGCGCCAAAGTCTGCGTCGAGTCCGCACCGAGCCCGCGTCGGGAACAAGACAAGATACCACTTTGGGGGACAGGCGTTTGGGAGACCCAAGAGGGGGTCCAGCTGAGAGGGGGTGGGGCAATAGATTTCGGGCAATCGGATTGCACATGCATTGCGCCAGATAATCGTATTGCATTGTATTGCAAGTAGTAATGTATTGCACGCGAAAATCCAGCAATACATCTGCACCCCAGAATGTAGTGCACGCCCCAAGTGTCCTGCAACCCCGCAGATCTGTTGCACCAAACCTGTTTTGCACCACCCCCTTGTCGCTGGACCCCCTCTTGGGCCAGCCCGAAGGCAGGGCCCCCCCGAAGCTGCAGCGCAGAACACTGCCCCGGAGCCTCCGGGCGCGCCGTGGAGGTCCAGCAGGAGCTGCAGGCCGCACTCCTCTGCGGCGAATGAGACCCGCAAAAAGGGTGGCCCCCGGGAGAGGGCGCGGCCTCTGGCGCGCGGCTTGCCGACTGGTGCGTATAGGAGGCAACTCCTGGGAGATCCCCGTACAGGAACACTGATTCGAGCGCCACTGAGCCCCAGGACGAAGCCAGATGAAGCAGAACGGGCGTCATGGGGGGGGGGGGCGGGAGGGGTATGACGTAACGCCCCCCCCCCCGCCGTGTGGCTCCGGCACCACAGCCGCGCCCGCGCGACGAGCAACGACGACGACGACGCGAACAGCATGTAAGTGGCGATCTGCCTTACTGCACCTGTGTACACCACAACGCTGGCGTGCACCACAACTCGCGTGTACACCATAGCGCCTGCGTGCACCGCGACAACCGTGTGCAACGCGGTTCCTGTGTACACCACAGTGCTTGCGTACACTACAGCGCCAAGAAGACATGTGTACACCGCAGCAACCATGTGCAACACAGTGCCTGTGTACACCACAATGCTTGCGTGCACCGCAGCGCCCGTGCACGCCACAGCGAAAGTCTACACCACAGCATCCGCGTGCAACGCGGCGCTGGTGTACACCACAGCGCCTGCGTGCATAGGACAGGTAAAAGAAACATGTACGTGAGAATCTGCTGCGGACAACTAAACGCCACGCCAAGAACGTGTTGATAATCGAATGCGACGTTCTTCCCTCATCCTCCCTCCTCCACCACCACCTCCACCTCCTCCTCCTCCTCCTCATCCTTACCCCCTGTCGTGCGGATTGGCGCTACAGCGCACGTGCGCATCTCAGCGTGCACCGCAGAATGGTGTAGTGAATCGGTCCTCTTGGTTATCGGACAGCCAATTTAGCTGGAGCCTCCTGGACGCAAATGCGAGGAGTTAGGGTGATGCGGGCGGACTCGGGAGGACTCGTAGATTCCAGCAGCGCCCCGTTGTGCATGAGGATTCCTTTCTATTGTTTCTGTGTAATCCACAAGCGCTCCATTTTGTCATAAGGATTCCTTCTCACATTCTATATACAGCAGTGGTGCTGTGTTGCACACGGTTGCTGTGGTGCACACAGGCGCCGTGGTGTACACAGGCACTGCAATACACGCGCGCGATGTGGTGTACACTGGTGCGGTGTTGCACACTGCTGATGTGGTGTACGCAGGTGCTGTGGTGTACACAAGAGCTGTTGTGCCCGCAAGCACGGTGGCACAAACTGACGCTGTGTTGCACGCGGCCGCTGTGGTGTCCATAGGCAGTGTCGTGTACACAGGCGCTGTGGTGCACGCAGGCACTCTGGTGTACACAGGCGTTGTGGTGCAGATCGCCACCGACATGCTGGTGCTACTCGTCCTCCGCCATTCCTAAGCATTCCAAGACGCCGCCGGCGCGAAACGTGACGTCATCGACCCCCATCCCCCCCCCCCAGATGATTGCCGTCATCGGCCCGGGATACAAAACAGGCTCCAGCCGCGTCCGCGCGCACGACGACGATGAGCGACGAGCGACGAGCGACGAGCGACGAGCGACGAGCCACGAGCCACGAGCCACGAGCCACGAGCCACGAGCCACGACGACGACGACGATGACGACGACGACGACGACGACGACGACGACGACGACGACGGCGACGACGACGACGACGGCGACGACGACGAGGACACGGATTGCGGACCAGACCCCTATGCGGACTCCTACGCGGACACCTACGCGGATCCCAATGCGCACGGCGGCAGTGCCCGGAGCGCGCTGGGAGGGGGGGCGCTACGTCATGGGGGGGGGGAGGCATGACGCCCGTCATGCCCCGAGCAAGAAAGAAACCGGCCCTAAGCGGGAAACAACCGGATTGCTCTGGGTACCTCGACTGGGCCCCGGGACTACAAGGGCCCACTGGACTACAAGGGCACCCCCCCGGACTACAAGGGCCGCCCCCCGGACTTCAATGGCCCCCCCCCTCGACTACAAGGGCCCCCCCCCGGACTACAAGGCCCCTCCCTTCCGGACTAAACGGCCCCCCCGCCTGGACTGCATGACCCTGCCCCAGACTACAGGCCCCTCCCCGAACCCTTTTCAAAGCAGGCGGAAAGCGGGGGACCGTTGGGGTCAGCTTCCTGTTTTCCGCAGCCACAACTGAAAACGCCCCTGGGTGACCAGCGGAGCTGCGCCTCAGGCGCGCCAGTGCGATTCCTTTGCCCCCCCCTGGGCCAGCGATGCCAGGAGCGCGACTGCTGCGAATCAGCCGCGCCCCCGTGGGGTGCCAGTCTCCACTCTGCGCCCCACGGGCACTTCCAGGCGCGCAGTTACTGCTTCCCCGCGAAGCGAGAGCGCGCCCCCCGCGCGCCCAGCCTATAACCCCGGACGTCGGGGCCCGCGGCCCGCAGTGCAGGGCTACACTGTCGGACTACAGGGCCCCCCCCTTCCGAACTACAAGGGCCCCCATTGCCGCCCCCCCCAGACTACAAGAGCCCCCGGCATACAGGGCCCCCCCCCCCTCCCGGACTACTGGGCCCCCCCCCCGAGACAAAACACAGGGGCCCCCAAAACTCTCGAGGCTTAAGGAGTAGCAAGCAAAGACGAAAGCAGATTGCACCGGTTCTGACCACAGATCTGCCAGCGCCCATGCTGCAGTCGACCCCCCAGGAGCTGCATCTTTGCACCGCCGAGTATGCGATGCGACAGCGAGTTGGTGGCGGCCTGCGAGCTTGGACTCTTGGCCCCCCCCCGCGCCCACCCCATGAGAGCCGCAGGCCAGAGGCCACTCTGGCGAGGGGTCGATGGGCCTGTTTTCCGCCACCACCACCATCAGTTGGATGGGGGGAAGGAGAAGAAGGAGGAGGAGGAGGAGAAGGAACGGAAGAGGAGGAGGAGGAGGAGGAGGAGGAGGAGGAGGAGGAGGAGGGGGAATAGGAATGGGAATGGGAATGGTCAAATCGCGTCGATGCCATGCGCCGCGCCCTCGCCACAGTCATGCGAAGCCGCCTGCTGCCATAGGATGTCGGTCACCGATGTGGTCAGATCTGCTAGGATGTCGCTGAAGTCCTCGCAACCTGTCCGCTGTGCGTCACCAAAGTGCCACTCGTTCTGCTCACTCGTGCCCCCGCCGCGGCGGGGTTGCCAGTGTGAGTGCTCGATCGGGTTCCACAGGTACTGTAACAACATGGCTAGCACTGCGCTGACTGGCCCACATTGACCCACGAACGTGGCGAGCCCTTTCAGCACCCGTGAGAGACTTCATTTTACTGACAATACTTGGCCATATCTTTCTGACTGGCGATCTGATCTCCTCGTTGGACACCCAGAGTCTTAGCCATTCGCTCAAACATTCCCTGCTCAATCTGACGGCTGGATCTTGGTTCGGGGCTCTCAAATCCAATGTTGTGGCAAGGCAACGCCCTCTACGGCTGGACCCACATACTGTGCCTAACCGACGTCTGAGGCCTAGAAGCTCAGTGCCGAAGATGCCGTGTATCTGATGCAGTGGGCGACTGTTGTCCCCGTCACCTTCTCTAATGTGGCCGTCACCAGGTATGTCCTGCTCGCTCTGGCCCAACGTGAGATCTTCTGGGTGCGCCCTTTAGCGTTTAACACTCTTCCTCGCCGAGTAGCTCGCCCCATCCTGCGACCTGCCGCAGGATCCTCTCCGAGATCAGATGATTGAAGCACAGGCCGCAAGACATGCCCTTTGCGTCGCAGGGCTGCTATCTTCTTGGCCTCCTGGTGCCTGGATGCAATCAAGACGCTCTTGGGCGCCGCGGACAACTGCTCCCCAGCAACAAGGTCGCATGTGTCTGCAACCCCATTTGACCATTGCCTTGAGAACATGCCGCTCCGATTCCCACGGCTGACTCACTGAGGTCGTCGGCCCAAATGCGCGCGCGAAGACCTGGGTTAGCCTCGGCGGGCCGCTTCAGCACAGAATGTGTCGTGCACTTGCCGAAGCGGGTTCCGCAGGCCCTGGATGATCGACCTCGCCATCTGGAACGGGATGCATGTCGACCCCAACTGGGCCATCATCCTCGGTGCTGGGCAGAGCTGTCGCTCTAAAAACAAAATGACCGGTGGAAAGTCTAGCTTGCGAGCCGCGTAAACAAGGCGAGCCCAGGTCACCGCGCCGTAGAAAGACTGGATGTCCAAGATGGTGCGCGCGTAGGAGACGCCGAGCACCCCGTAGATCTTCTCGTACACTGTCTTGAGGAAGGCCTCCCTGAGAGCTGAGTTCCCCGCCAACGCGGCATCCCAGCTCTCACATGTCTCTAACGCCCACGGCTTCGTGACTTCCCCCCGAACCATGGACCACATCCTGCACGTCATGCTGATGAGACCAATGACTCGGCATCCTTGGGCCTTCTTCTTGGTAGAAGGCGGCCTTCTACAACTAGAAGTTGCCAAGGCCACGCGCGCTGCTCCTCCACTTGATTGTAGAAATCCACCAACTCAGCTCTCGCTGGAAAGGGCAGCCTCTGGATGTCAGTTGGAGTGGGCCTGTCCGCCCCGAGCCCTGCGCGGGGCCTCATTCGACTGACTGCCATATCCAGCTGGCTAACCTCGATGGGCGAGAGAGTCGCCGTCTTGGATGCCTCGCGCATCTTCTAACAAAAAAAGCTGCACCGTGCCCTCGACGTCGACCTGTTCTGGTGCCCATAACCGATGGCAATGCTGAGCTTGGTGGTCGACCACGTCTACTGGCTGATATAGCGCCTCGCCGCTCTTCGTGGAGATCTGCTCCACCGTAGGCGGCGCCCCCCTCGAGCTGCGAAAAAGTGGCCCTTTAGCTTCTGCGGTCGTGACCCAGCTCCTGAACTTAGAATGTGATTCGCGCGGCGCTCGGCTCTGGGCCCGCTTGGCGAGCCGAAAGGAGGCCGACTCGAGAAAAAACAATAATATTGACTGATGCCTTGCCAACGTGCGTGAGCGATCCTACCCGAGTTTCCCAGGAAGGGTCGTCGGCTCGCACACCTCTGGCCACTCCCTCGGGAAAAGCAGCAGCGAGCCTCCAGCGC